TAGCTAAATTTGTTTTATTAGCTAAATTTGTTTTATATTACTATTAACTTTCACAATTACCATTTATATTAATTGTCACCTGTAGGATATCAGTATCATGTTATTGGAAATTTGGATTCACTCTAGAATACCAGTGCAATATATACGTACTTCTTTACGTTTGTGCTTGGTTGCTAAAGGAGCGCTTTTAGGATTTTTTTAACTACGTAGTATTTCCGTGCATAACACTTGTATTTGATATTGGTGTTAATTTTCTTACTATCCATGCAGGGAGTTTGTCAGTTGTGTTAGATGCATCCGTATTTTATCGCCTGCAGAAGTTCAGCAGATGAGCGAAGAAGGAATGCAGCTTCTCAACAACAATGCAATTCCAGGAATCAGCGGTGTTGCTTAGACATGTTAGTTGTTTCAGATGGCCAATGCTACACCTACGGGGCTGCAAACAGGAAGGACCTAAAGCTTGTCATCTACAGAAGGGAGAGCTGTGTTGATTCAGCCCAAACTAAAGGATTCTTGCTGATTAGCTTGTTGGCTATGACAGTGTACATTGTGGGAATGTGTTAAGAGTTTAGGTAGATCAATGCTAGACTTTAGTTTTTCAAAAAAAAAAAAAAAAGGCTAGACTATGACATTTAGGTTTTGGAAAGTTATGTAATGTAGTGTACCTTGAAATTTTAATGTATGGATCATGAAACATTTGAATGTCTAAAACAAAGGGCAGTTAGAGAGTTGTTCCGATCCAACTTCAAGTAGCATAGTTTATCAGGTCACAAGGCCTGGAACAATTGTTTGTACGGTTGTACCATATGCTTGTAATTTTGCGCTCTTGTACGAGTCTGCATCCACTATGTTTCTCCAGCAATGTATCACTACATTTTGGAAAATCTATTTTTTTCACTAATATAAAAATCAAATAAAACCTAATATGACCATAATTTAACTTTGAGATAAAGTTAAATTATGGTCATGTTAGGTTTTATTTGATTTGTCTTAATGAAATATTCGATTGTTATATTTTTCACTAATTAGTATCACTAATTAAAAGTGTTGTCAAATTTCAAACCGAAATCCTTTAACTGCCCGAAACAAACCGACCCACATGAGAACCGAACCGATTAAAAGCCGTTTTATTTGAAACCGAAAACCAACCCGAACCATATGTGAATAAACCCGAAACTGAACCGATCTGAATAACGTTACACCGTATAAGAACCAAACCCGTTAATGAACCGAACTAGTTTTAAACCGAATTGCAATAAAACCGAACCGAAAAAGAACCGAACTGTTTCTAACCCGAAACCGTTTGAAACGGGATAAAAACCGTTTACAACCCGCGACCCGTTTGCACTGAACTGTATATAAACCGAACCATTTATAAACCGAACCGCTTGCAAACCGAATCGTTTATGAACCGGACCGCTTATAAACGAATCGGCTTACTATAAAGAGAATATTAAAATCAAGTAAAAAGGTGTTTAAAATGAAATTTAATTATGCACACATGTTTACTTCCAATCGAGCATTATTTTTCCCAACTTTTTTTTTTAATGTAATTATATGGATTAAGCAAAATAATCTTACTATTGATAATACAAAGAACCATTAAGAATTTGAAAATTTATCATAGTACAAAAATTCTTCTTGCCAAATTAATATTAATTGAAAATTTATCATAGTATAAAATATCTTCCTGCCAAATTATTATCATAGTATAAAATATCTTCCGACCCGAACCGTAATTTAGTAAACTCAAAATGGAACCGATCCAAATAACGTTAAATCGTAGAAGAACCGAATCAGTTATTAACTGAAGCGAAAAAGAACCGAACCAGTTATGAACTGAATCGAAAAAAATTGAACTAGTTATAAACTGAACCGAAAAAGAACTGAACTGTTCTAACCCGAAACCGTTTCCAATGCGAAACTGTTTGAACTAGGATAAAAACCGTTTACACCGAACCGTTAACAAACCGCAACTCGTCTGTACCGAACCGTTTACTACCCGGACTGTTTACAACCTGAATCGAATTAAAACCGCTCAAGAATAAAACGAAATCGAATCGAACCGATAACAATTTAAATCGGACTAAAACCGACCCGCGAGACACTTAAACCGATTTCAAACCGACCCGATTTAATACCGAACCGATTTCAAACCGAACCGAACCCGAACTGTCAAACCGTTTTGACAGTATTAGTAATTAGTATGAGTACCCCGTAACAATCACTATATATATGGACATATGGTCAAAGGATTACATTGCCAAACGTGCATAGTCAAAATGGAAGAACATTTAGGGATGGAGAGAATATTACGGAGTAATAAATGTATTTATTACGTGTTTGGGTCTAATTTACTCTAATTGGGCAAGTCCATAAATGATTCAATTACAAAGCCCAAGGTCAAGGTTCAACCTACTAATACATGCCAAGTCAAGTCAAAGGCTCAGTCAACGTGGCAAACCTACTTGATGCAAGACCCATTTTCTCTATTATGTTATTGCATAAAAGCAATCAATCCTCTCTCTTTATATTCATTCACTTTAAGCGTCAAGCAATTAATACTCTTGTATAGTTTTCTCTCTCTAAGCACCGTACTGACCTAGGCATCGGAGGGACCTTCCTCGGCACAACCCCTGTGGCCAGTTTACCCCTTGACTTAGTCGTCACTTGGACCAAGTCCAGTCTTCAGCCCACCAGAAATGACCTTTATGAAGATCCCATTGTTTTCACTCGAAACACTACGTATTTAATTATTATTATTATTTTTTTAATAATAATAATAAATAATTAATATTTTAATAATTATAATAATAACAATAATAATAATAATAATAATAGTAATAATAACAATTATGATTATTAATGATTATTATTATTATTATTATTATTTCTCAAAAACAAAAGTCATACAACCTATAATAAATTAGTGGAAAGCCGAGATACAATCTGGACCCCCACTCCTCTAGTTATAGCAAAACCTACCATAGTAAAGATATGAGTTGCAGCACGCGCCCCAATGTCTTGAGTCTTCGAGAACTTCTAGATCCGCTTCTGCAATGCAACAACATCTTTTTCTAACTCCCTAAGAGAATAGAAAGAGAAAGGAAGGAAACCATATCCAATTGCTCGACAACTGGATTCGTACTTGATTCGCTTCCGATTGGCCGCATCAGTCACTACCCGTCCAGGAACAAAGTTAGAAAGCCCAGACTGTGTCAATGGAGAAGACCCTGTCGAGTCAACACAGACATCGCGACCACAATCCCATGAATAAAGTAACACATCTGCAGGTCTAAGAGCCCCATCGTTCCCTCCAAATAACCCAATGCCCACCTCCTTTCTAGCTGAAATCCCTGACCGATAGCAAACATCAACAAGGGTATCCCGAACAACATTATTATTATTATTATTATTATTATTATTATTATTATTATTATTATTATTATTATTATTATTATTATTATTATTATTATTATTATTATTATTATTATTATTATTCCTGTAGTCAGGAACTCAGGATCTATATCATACAGAGTAATGCTTTATGTAAGAATTGACAGAATATTGCCTTTCTGACTTTCAATGAATATTGAGCGGTATGGGCATCAACTATGCCGAAAGGGCCTGTAACTCATCAAGTGTGGTCCGCATTTTTTGCTTCCGTTTCGCACCTATTCTAGCACTTCTGAATTCAGACTATATGTCATTATCATGGTACTCTGAGTCGTCTCACAGCCCACAAGGGAAGTTTAAGAAGGCCAAGCTGGTTTAGGAGACAGACTGTGGTGGGCAAGGCAGGGTGTAGCGAGGAAACTGGTTCGTCTGTTCCATTGACTAGTCCGCATGAGTCAATTTACAATTTGGATACAAGCATACATCCCACAGCGCCACAAACAATCCAACGACTAGCTAGATTGTTTTCTTGTTGGTTTCCAACTATAGTCTTAATCTCTGTTTTATAGGATGTACTCCATAAGTCATACAGAGTGATTCTCATACAAATCACACAGACTACACAATATCGAGTACACAACCAAGCAAGATCAATCTGCTTTTGCAAAAAAATTTGCTCGGTGCACTGCCGTCTCTCAACATTTCCAAATGAAACATTCAACCAGACTGATCAGATTACTACTATTATCCCATTGACACAAGATATCAGTAGTTGCAAGACTGATTACTGTAGATCTCTATAATTCTTTCAATTTAACAGGTTACCAATTTCACTTTAAAAAGAGCTTAGAAAGAAGATAAACTTTTCTTGAATGTGATAAAGAGATGCAAAAGTAACTGGAAAATAAAGCTTCAAAAGGCTAAAGCGCTCAGACGTCTCAGAAAGTATTGAGCTGTAGTAGAAGCATCTCAACTTTCTCAAAGCAAAAATCTAAAATAAAAATCGACTTGATGTCGTTCAGACTTCAGAAAGACCAAAGTTTCACTTGTAAAGACTTTTTGAATATAGCAACGTGCAGTGAATTCTGGTTTTACAGCAATCCACTTAACAGGTTTAGACATTTCAGCAAATCTGCCAGAAAAAATTATACGAAGTATACAACATATAGTGATTAGTGAGCCCTATTTTTCAGCTCCCATTGTTATAGGTAGTTCACTTTGTTTTGCTTAGTACATCAATAAACTGTACTCACTTCATGTCTTCAACAAGCAAAGGAATGACAGGATGGTGTCGCCACATTAAAATCGCTAAGCTAATTCATTAATGTAGTGCATGTTGTTTAAAAGGCAGGCAAATCTTCTGTATAGAGAAGGAATAGCGGACAAATTAGCATTTTCAGCAATATCCCATTCTATGTCATAACTTCTGTCCCATTATATTTGGTTATACCATATAACATTAGTGACTGATTTTAAGCTGGTGACATGTTAAATTGGAGGGGAATTCGGACACAAGGCGGGATATAGAAGGGGACATATGATCATTCTGAACTCCTTTTTTACGAGGGCTTAGTTAAATGCAGGTCAATAAAAGTTAACAAAAGGAACACTTCAATGGATTTAAACTTCATTAACTTCTAATCGAGTATGTATCCATTACAAAATAGAAATAACTTAGAAACTATATATCCTAGTTGCATTGTAATTTGTAAATAACTTCTATCTTCTTCTATGACATTTGCTGGAAATGAGAAACACTAACTAGTTGTCTTCCTTCTCAGTTTATTAGGCAATTAAATTAAATATATCTTGCGAAATCTATAGCACAAGTTCATATGAATTTGATATGAACTATGCCGAAAAAACTGATATTGTTCTTACCTATCAATGATCATTGGAACGAACCTCTTCGCAAATTATACTCTTACAGGCTTCTCTAAAACAGCTGACAAATACAATTCCGATTTCCCTGATCCTGTTTTCTCTCCTACAACCCATTTCAGCTTCTTATACCCAAATTTCTCAATCAATCTTGTTATATCCCTCTTCTTCTCATCAGTAGCACAAAAGAAGTTATCCAACCATAACAAACCCCCAGCCCTCAAAACTCGATCAATATCGAACATTAAGAACTCAAGTTTCTCAGCCTTCCCTCCAACATCCAATGCACTTCCAGCATGAACCAAATCAAACACATTATCATAAAATGGAAACCTATGATCCAAGCTCATAAACAAAGGGAATAACCCCCTAGAAGCAATGAAATCGTTGGCGGGCGCCTCAACATTCAATGCCTGAGTAATCACAGTGACATCCCTCTCAGCCATTCTAGCAGCAAAAGTTCCTGAACCACCAGCAATATCAAGACCAATCCTAACCCCTTCACCACCCATACTCAAAACATCATCAATAGTAAAATCATTTTTTCCTTTACCCTTAACAAACCTCTGATTCTCATTAACATTACTCAAATCAAAGCAATTAACACAATCTTTCCCTATTTTTTTACCACTCAAACAGGCAAAATTCTTGCAATTCAAACCACTCCAACTGACAATCTTATCACTAACAGTTTTCCAAAGAGAAGCAGGAAATGGATACAGAAACCCTACCTTATTCAATGTCTTAGCAAAACACCTTCTTCTTGGCAAAGGCTCACACCCCTTTGAAATCAGCTTCTGGGCCAACCCCAAATCATCAGGGCAAGGCCCATTAACCTTGTAATTCATATATTGAGACAATAAATCCATTGATTTGCTGCAAGTATGACCAACTGAAGCTACCATTTCAGTGATCCCAGTTCTTGAATCTTTTCCAAGTGGCAATGAATGCCTCTGCAAGAAGATCTTGAGCTCATTGGATAAACCGGGTTTTGTAATATCGATTGATTCGTAACCCAGAAGCTCCTTTTCGATCTGGGTTAGCTTTTTCTGGGAAGATTGGATCTCATCCATGATTAAGGAGACTTGTTCAGTGATTAAAGAGATGTTTTTGTGAGCTCGGTGAAGTGGGGTTTGATTTTGTGATGAATTGTTGCTGGGATTGTAAGTGAATGCATAAAGTGCAAAGAGATTTGTGGTAAGAACTGAAAATAGCATTAATCCATTTACTGCTGATGTACAAATTGTTGCTCTTTTGAATCTTGCTGTTCCATCCCCTATTTTTAAGGATACTGACCCCATTTTTCTGGGATTTTGATCTTGTTCTTGTTGTTGTTGATGAATTTGTAGCAGAGAAGATAGAATTTAGGAAGTGGAATTTTCTGTAAGAATGAGTGAGTGAGTGTCTGAGGGAGGAAGAAGAGATCTAGAGTGGAAAGGATAGTGAGAGTTGACAAACTAGTCAATTACTAGAAATAAATGTTTTTTTTTTTTTTTTTTTTTGAGGGGATACTAGAAATAAATGTAATAACTAATAAATGTTGATTTATTAACAAAAAAAAAAATTAGTAATATTTTATATGTTTTAGAATAATTGATAGGATTGAACTTTTTTACACTATGGAGTATTTTTTTTTTCAAATATTTGATCGACCATAGTTTTTTTACTTCATATTAAAATTAATGTTATCTTATACTCCATAATTGAAAGTATAATTTTAAAGTCTGATAGAGTATAAAACATATTCTTGGGCCTCAGCCATCAGTTTAAGCTTTTGGTTGAGTTGGTCCTTTAACATGGTATCAGAGCCAGCGTGACACCAAGGTCACGGGTAAACTTTGTGTTAATTGTCAGCAAGCGTTAAAGTCAAATTGTTACAAATAAAAGTAAACAAAGAAAATTTCTTTGTGATAATTTGTATTCCCCAGTTTATTTAAATCCACTATGATGCTTTTTATAGTAATTAAAAGTAGTATTTGGCACGAGCGATACCTCGAATTGATACTTTGAAATCTACAATATTATACAATAATGTTCATGTATTACTTCGTAAATGATTAAATGGGTGAATAAAATTTTATAGAGTTTTTTTGTGGACCATGTGGACGTGAAAAAAAAAATTAAAAAAATAAAAAAACTAATAACATATCAAAATAAAATATGAAAAGATTGTATTGATTCGGATGAAGGATTTTATAATAGCGAACGTTGATCGAATCTATGATGTTATTAGTTCTAGGGTGATTTATATTTGTGTTGGAATGTCATTTGACTATTTTTTTATTTGTAAAATCCTTTTTCTTCCTATAAAAAAATAAATAGATAATGAAAAGATAAAAAAGAACGTAGGGAATAATTTGAAATAAACGTAATTATAATGACCGAGTGAGATTGACAAAATAAAACAAAAATTAAAAAATAAAAAATAAAAAATCACTCACGGGAAATACTGAGCAGTAATATTTTAAATGTATTATTAGCAAAAAAGGTTTTTTAAAGGCTAATTATCAACGAATAATTAAGGCAACTAGTGAAAAATTAATACTTTGGGGCCTAAAGTATTTGTCGGTTAATAAATAACGTATTTGTCGGTTGTGAGCTGATTCTTGTGATGAGAATGGAAAGATGATTCTCCATGGTGGCCTGGTGGGTAATTGGGTACCAATTGTTATTGCGTCATTAAAATTATATGATGGAATCGTTCAATTGTTCCATTGAGATGATTAGATTTAAATAGCTAACTAGTTTTGTACCCCGTGCTATGCTCAAGTTGTTTATTGAATTTTAGGATAATTTTGTTTAGTAAATTTTGACTCTTACCACCTAAAAGAAAATCAATTATTGGCTTTTATCACTTACATAACAATTTTTTTTTTTTTTTTTGGGAAATTCTCTTTGGTAGACCTCTAATAATAAACATTCTCAGTGGCAAATGCAAAAAAAGTTAATATCCTTGGTAAACTATGTTTTAAAAAGTTAAGTCAATGGTAACATTTAGCAAGATAATTAGCATTTTAAGCATAACCATGGTTAACCATGGTTAAGAACCACCTCCCCACCACCCCCGCCACCACCACCTCTATCCCTCCCATGCACGCAGCCCCCCTCCCCCACCGCCTGAAAACCATCGGCGTCCCTTCCCCCCTAACCAACCGGCGCACAACCTCCTCCCCTACCGCCGACTTCATCCCCCCTCCCCTTTCCCTTACCCTCGACACCACCAGTCCCCACCCACACCCTTTCCCGAAACCCTAAATCCCCACTGCCGACACCTTTTGCTTCAACAAACATCAAATTAATTTCAATTACCTGTAATAATTCACATAATTTCTTATTTAATTGTGAGGAATTAGGGTTTCGATTACCAGAAATTCACAAATTTAGTTCGATTTTTTTCATCGTTTTCAATGGTGGTGAGGTGCGAGAAAGGAGAGAAGATGGGGAAGGGTGGTCGAAGGGGTTGGGTACTTGGTGTGTCGGGGTCAGGGTTGGGTAATCGGGGTTGGGTGTTGGGGTTGGGTACTTGGGGTGTCAGGGTAGGGGATAAAGGTTGCCGTCGGGAATGGGAAAGTTAGGGAATAGGGGCTGGGGGAGGGGAGCTGCGACCAGAGGAGGGGGAGAGGGAATGGTGGCAAGATGGTGGGGAAGGTGGTGGCAGGGTGGTGATTTTTATTTTTTTAATTAATTTTAGAATGGGGGTATTTTAGGCATCACAACTTTTTTTTACTTAGAATGGTTAACCATGGTTAAGAAATGCCTAATTACATTGATTAAGGTTACCATTGACTTAACTTTTTAAAACATAGTTGTAGGGAATAGATTTCAAGCTTTAATCCCACTAGCTTGAACCCCACTGTGATCATACACTAAAGTACGGTGGCGTCCAAAAGGGAAGAAGATAGAACAAAAGAGTCGCCAACAAGTTTTTTAGGAACTTGTAAACCGTTCACGAGGATGAAGGTTACACCCCTTAACGATCCAAGAGATCGTCAACTCCATAAGGTCTAGAACCAAATAAGGGTTCGGGGATGAAGGTACAAATCCAACCTAAAAGAAATTGAACCTGCCCTAATAATAGGCCTCTACTTTATTCTGATCGTATTCATGTGCGCTTTTTAATTAACATGCAAACAATAGGATTAACCCTAAACCTGTTTATCTATGTTGGTTGAATTTAATGCACAAACAAACTATTATTGGCGATCACTTGAATTTATAATCACATTAACCCTAACAAGATTATTAAATATCTTATTAAGCGTGAGCACAAGTACCAAATTCCCTTTAAACATGCAATAAAGGCGTGATCAAGCAATATATATCAAGCAACATGATAAATAATCAATAAAATAATTATAATCATCATCAAAATAATAATCATAACCATCATAAATTATAACAATTATAATCATAATCATGTTCATGTTAATATTAAAGCATAATAATAGCAAGATCCTAGGCATGATACTAACAAGATTAATAACAAACCCTAGCATGTCACTAAGCAATAAAAAATCAAATCTTTAACCCTAACATGATACTAACAATCATAAATATTAGGAAGAACATAGGAAGCATCGCAACAATCATATTTAATATTAAAATTACATCCGGCTGTTCAGCGGATTTTAGATGGGTATGATTTGGGGTTATGGCAGTTAGCCCCCAACTCTTGGGTAAACGTACTCGGCTATGTGGCCGGGTGCGAAATGTACGGGGTGGAGCCAAGCTTTGAGGCTTTCGCCCATATGAACTATCTCAGCCGGACCCCTAAGTCGGGAGGTACCGGCTGGTATCAATTAACGAGCCATAGGGGTTACCTCATGACGAGAGGTAAAGCGAACAAATGGAAGGATTGGCGGAACACCTTCCTTATCATTGAGGGTTCAGACACGGAGCTGAACCAACGTTTTAACAAGTGGAATAGGGATCCGCCTCTTCTCGCAGGCGGTCGCAGCATGCCGCCTGTTCCCCCAAAGGCTAAAAAAGAGATCCTAGACAAAGGACTCTTCAAAGTAGAGACTAGGGTGAACTCTACTTCAGGGGTACGAGAGCAAGTACCCCTAAACTGCGTCCCGAGCTTTAAGTGGCTCTATGATGAGTACTTTTTGGCCGCCTGTGGCCTCAGCAGTCGGTGCTCTAGAGGTAGCCGGCCTGTCAAATGCTTTGTTTTTTCACACCTTGTTTACTTGGGATTTTTACTAACTTTGCTGTTTATTTTTTGCAGCTGACGCCATGAGTAAAATAACAGCATCCAAGACTGCGGCGGCCATGTTGCGGGCCTCGCTCATGAAACAGTCTTATGCCGACTCCCCCAACAAGGGGGCACCCTTGGTAAGCTTCGAAAACTCTTCCTCTTTCAGTTGTCTTATGCATATACTAACTCTTTTTGTTTTCAGTCTGGCACTCCAAGGGCTTCTTCCTCGCAACAGCCGGACCCCAAGGCCCGGAGGACGACTGTTGCAAGCTCTCCTGGGTCTTCCAGGAAAACGGTGGCGGCTGAGAAGCAGCCGGCCACTTCCTCAAAAACCCCGGCGGGGCCACCTAGTAGTATGGACCCTCACTTGTAAAAACTCACTCTTGCTTCCTTCTTGACTAGGTCTAACTTGTTTTTCCTTTCGCTTAATGCAGCCGGCCCTCAGGGACTTGACTTGGTTGAGGTAGCCAAGTCCATGGTTAAAGTAGTTCCTCCATCTGACAGGGAGGCGGTCAGGGGTGCCGGCACCCTTGACCTTGATGGGATTTCAGGGATCCTTGCTGAGGTATACTTGAGTTTTTGAGTTCCAGGACGCCTGTTATCTTTTTTTTTTTTTTTGCTTGGAAGCTGACGCCTGTTTTTCTTTGTACTTAGGCCCTGCTCCGAGTCAACAGCCTTCGCAAGCCGATTGATCGGAAAAAACAAAGAGGTAAAGGCCGCAAAAGCTATGGCCGCCTCCAGCTGTGATAAGGCAATGTTTCAAATTGCCCAAAATGAAGTACTGACCATTGATCTTCTTTATTATCAGGCGCAGGCTACCGCCGCTGTTCGGGCTCAGTTAGAGGCGGCCCAAAAGAAGGTTGACGAGCTGGAGGCGACCGTCACAAACCTTAAGGCCGAGCTGAAGCCTCTTCGCCAAAAAATGCACTCTTACGAAGTCATGGAGAAATCTTTGGCCAACGTAAAAGAACGCCTGGTGAACCAAGAGAAGAGTCTTACCCAAGAGCTCTCGGAAAAGGCCGAGCAAGAGAAGAAAGAGCTCGTCCGGGAGATGGTGGAAGACTCCGCTCAAATCCAGCGCATGACCTGGGAACGACTGTTCCCCAGTGCCGATTTTGCCTCCTGGGAAAGAACGTACCGCCAGTGTTCGGAAACATATAATCAACAGATCCTGGCGGCTGCTGAAGAAGAGGCATTGGAAGGTGCGTTGGAGGAGGAAGAGCCGGTTGTGGCGCTTGTGCCACTTGGGGGTAAGGCATCAAAAGAGGGTGCAGCTAAAGCCGAGTCCAGCAAGAAGAGTGCTGACCAGGCGGCAGCTGCTGATACTGAACTGCCCCCTTCTTAAGCTTCAAGTATTTTTTCCACGGCCTGCGTGCCGTTTGCTTTTGTAATTACCCGGCCAGGGGGCCGGGGTTCTGAATATTTTTATCTATTAATGAAATCATTCTTTGCTTGAAATTTGTCTAAGTGTTGAATATTTGCTATTGCTTTGTACACTATATCGACTGTTTTGCATGGCCGATTGTAGACAGGTACGGATGGTCCACCTATGCCCCTGGACGACTGGTTGTCTGTTTCCAAGCTGGGCGATCAGT